ATTCTTTTGTGCTCTGTGGGGAAATCCACATTTCAGGACTGTCAAATGACCTTACAGCATCCTATTACTACCTAGAATCTCCAGCGTGCATGCTCATTTGCTAGAGTAGGGACATCTTTTCTTCTTGACAAGACAAAGCCATGGTCTCAGCTCTTGCACCCGTGCGGTTTGCAGCCTGTAGCAAACACATCAGAGCATCTCGTGAGGTCTGCACTCTGTGGGGAAAAAAAGTGTGTGTGCCTGCGTATTTGGAGAGGAGCTGCCTTGTCTAATCCTTTGCCCTCTTTACCCATCAGAGACGGAGGTACCACCACGGTGCCACACGGAAGCAGGGTGCAGCCTAGGCTAGGGGGTAAATAAGCACTCTCTTTACAGTACACCTCTCTAGCTCAACCACTTACCTCTGGTAGCTCTGTGGTAGGGCCAAACCTGATGAAATATCAGCAAAAGGCCAACAGTCCCTGAGACACCCCGACCTTCACCACAGATCGGAGTGAAACTGACATATTTCTAAAAACTCTGATGAGAAATTCAATCAGACTGTCAGGTTAAAATTCCATAATAAAAATGCAAGGTTGAGGCTACAAGTAGGAACTGAGATCACTCTAAACTTTAATTTACCTTTCTTGATGCCCCTGGGTGACTTTCTCTCAGATTACACAAAAATATAATAGACAGATTCAGGTTTTGGTTCCTTTGCATGAGGTCAGATGCTGTGAAGGACTTAGTGGGTGGGGAGTGGGGAACAACAGAACACTTCCTATGGAAGTAGGTGCCAGAGACCTGGCTAGCTGGGTCCACAGACTTCTGAGGCAGGCTCTTTAATTTCTCTGTTTCCCCATTACTCAGAATTACAAAGAACAAGACTGTTTCTCTCCATTGCAAAGTTTGCAACAGGCTCAGATACTGCAGTAACAAACCAGCACCCAGACACCCAGGAAGGCACAAGCTATGTGACCCCAGCAGAAGGTGGGCTTCATGGGGGTTTCAAAATCGGAGGCCTCTGAACAGCTTGGATGTGGTTGTATAAACCTGTACAGAACTGGATGTTTAGGAAAAGCCTGGTTTACCCTTGTGATTTGTTACATTCTCAAACAGCTATCAAAGCTGGTGGCACTCTGCCTTCTGCCTCCCCTGCAACTAGCAAGCCCAAATTCCTTTCTCATGCACGTGGATGCATTTTCCCTTCACAGGATAAGAACAACACTAAACCCTAAGCCACCCACTAGGTTCTGTATCATTTTCCATTCTTCCAGGAACAGAAAGCGGTTCCGCAAAATTCACTTTGCAGGGCTGGTGGGACAATGGCCATCTCTCACCACCATTCCCTTCTATCGCAACAGAAGCTTCACTTTCCTCACCTTCACCCTGGAGAGGAGCTCTGCAGGTCCTACTCCTGTAGCAAATCCACAGAGACCTGTGAGCCTGTGTGCAGCTCCACAAGCACCCACGGGATTTCAGAAGTCTGCACAAGACCAACTGGAGCATGGATCTCAAAGCTGTACACAAAAGGGTCAGTCAGCATTGCCGATTCTCCCTACTGCTCTCAACAGAAGGCTAAGCTACCACTCAACTTATCTAAGGAGGTGAGAAGCAGCAAAAGAACAATGGATTACAAGCCAAAACTTTTTTTTCCTGTAAAAAGATTGACATCAGCGCTGCTTTATGATGTTCCAGAATTGCCTGATGTTAGCTGGTATCAACTGAGTCACAGCAGGAATGCCAGGGACATTTGTTAGCGTGAGGCACAGCTTTAGGGCCAGGGCAGTCTACCAGCACTGCAATCAGCTGAGATCCTCTCTTCCATTTTCCAGCTCAGTGCTCAATTCCATATTAAACAAGCACTAGTACAAGTGGAGCTGCAGAACATGAAGCTAGACAATAAAGCCCTGAAGAGCTGGGGGAAGGCAGCGCCATCTACTTTGTCTCCCTCCGGGTGGAGACAGCAAACAGAAGTTCAATAGCTCAAACTCTGTCCTGCTCCAATCTTGAGGTGAGCTGCAGCTGGAGCAGCCCATTGCTGCCATAAAGCAAAGCAGGATGCTCTCCCCACATCAGGGAGCAGAGTCCAGCAGTGCTCAAACTGCCTTAGCTGCCTCCAGCAAGCACAAGCAACACATTGGGGAGTCTGCATCAAATCCACCTCTGCTTCCATCTCCCTCTTGTCCCCACACTGCAATCAGGCTCCCCAGGCGCCCCCCACTTTGAACTGTCTGCAGTTTAGTCCCCACCAGCCCCTAATTCACACAACTCTGCTCCAAGCTGCTGCCCTCCCTGCAGTCACAGGGAGTCAATGCAGTCTTTATCTGCTGTCCTTCCCAAAGAGCACAGCACCTCCTGCATCCTTCCCTGTTAACAACTATGCCTTCTGCTTCATTCCTGGAATAGCTTCTCTTTCCTTCAAGCCAGATTCATTAACCAGCTGCTGCAGAGCTGTTTGCCTCCCCCAGGTACTCTGTGCATGTCATTTGTTAATGACTCATCTCAGACTGGGCTCATTGCAAAGACACCCCCTCCTTTTGCGGCACCAAGCACATCGCTGGCACACCAGGAAAGCCAAACGTGCAAACAGCTCAGTCCCCTCCAGTACCCCGTTGCCTTCTCTGTCCTCTATCGCTGTCAAACATGGGACAGCTCTTTATTCAAAGTGCTATTTCCTCCCTTCCTTCTTTGCTGATCAAAGGCAATGTGTACTGAAGCATAAATAAGATCTTCACCCGCAGCCAGGCTTTGAGAACAGCAAAAACGTAAGAACAAACTCGAAAACTTCCAACACACTAAAAAAGCTTCAGCAAACTAATGTGACTTCTGTAACTGGCAGGGAACAAACACCAAGGATGCCAAATTCACATCTATTTCCCCAGCAGACTGTGGCTTGCGGAGGAGCTAAAACGATTTCCAAAGGCATTTGTATTCCTCCTGCCTCTTTGCAGGACTGATATGAAAAATGGGAAGGAAAGAAAAGAGCTAGTGAGGACCATGGAACCTTTCTTAGCTAGTCAAATCTGGTGAGGAACTGGATGACCAGTATGCTGCAGCTGTCCACATGGGAAGCCAGGAACAGACTCGGTCCATCCCCATTACGCAGACCCATTAGATTTGGGTACACAAAGTCCACCTACAGCTCCCGAGAAGCCGTCAGCTGAACACTGGGACAAGCTAGCACAGAAAGTAGTACTGCCACTGCTTGGGAAACTGTTCCCTTGGGGTACAGGGGAAGGCTTCGTGCTCTGGGCTTATTCACTTAACATCTTTCCCTGGGATTTTTTTGGCTAGTATTTCTAGGGGGAGAGAGAGCTGGCAAAGAATCAGAAGGGACTTGACGCAGAGGCAACTGGATGGGAGGTATTTAGATGCACCTCTCAAGATTAAAAGCTGGTGTGCCTGCACTGCAGAAGAAAAGGACAGGAATTTACTTTCAAAAGTGTGTGAGCCCTGTGACTAAGGACTGAAGACACGCAGATGGCAAAGAATTCTGGTAGCAGTAAGAGGAAGGCACGTGCATTGCACACGCAAGTGCAGGTGACAGCTGGCTGCAGGACTGGAGCATTGTCACAGTCCTCTGCTTCAAGAGCTCTCCAGCCCACTCTCGTTACAGCACGGAGTGAAGTGAAACACAGGGGTCAAGCCACAAAGCGGTACTCTGCTAGACCCAGAGGAAGGAATCGACTGGCCTAAGGCAGAGCCCAACCACAAACCTTCCTCAATCAGGCATCAAAGGTGTTTAGGCTCAGGACATCAGGCTCTGCTACTAGCTTTGCCACAGATCCTTCTGCACCAACAGAGACAAAGACAAAAACTACTGACAAAATGGGAAGAGCACTTTCCTGCTTCCCAGATGCATTAGGGAGATCAGTCAGACCTTCTGATAACACAACATCAAGAACTGAGTAAATGCTCAAGTGAACAAGTGCTGCTAGACTACAAGCCTAAAGCAGCCTCAAAGCCAAGACTCCAGACTCTGACACTGAATTGTCATTTTTAATTTTTTTCTAAAATGTGCTTTTTTGTGAATTGTTGTTTCAAATGCCAACACCATCCTCCCCCTTAAAAAAAAGCCCCACACCTCGCCAAACTAGGTGCAAAATCACCTGAAGTTAGTCTGTAACAAATAATAATAATAAAAAAAAAAAACCAACAAAAAACAAAACCAACCACAAAACAAAGGCTGAAATGCTTTAGAATCACAACAATGTACAAAAAAAAGGGAGGAAAACACAACCTGAAAGTGTTCAAAATTCAGAAAGACTAGTCAAGTCCATTGCTTCAGCAAGGGGATGCTGCTGCGACCCCTGCCAGTGGGTCCTGGGCCACCAGCCTGCCACGGTGCCCAAGGGGCTCTTCTCCCACGCAGCCCGCCGTTGCTAGCATCCAAGGAAGAGCGAATGCATTACCCTTTGAAGATTATCAGTGGGGGAAAATGACTCACAAGCAGCTCTGGGAGGTCACACCACATTCAGAAGGAAAAGTTCCTAGCACACTCCTAACCACCTGCAAGAAGGAAGGCTTGAAAGAGCAGCCTGCTTCCTCCTTATTGTATTGGTGCCTCAGATGCAGAACAGTGCTTGAAATCTGTGAGAGATTAAGGGGCTTAGTAAGGGCAGTAAACAGACAGTTAAGTAAACAGCCCAGCACTGGATCTCATCTTCACAGAGCGAGGTAGTGTGAATTTCACCCCAGTTTAAAACAGACAGGGGTAGCGGAAAGGCTGAAGACTTCCATGTAAAGCAGTTCCTGGCCTAGAAACCTTTCTGCGCTCCCTTTGGGAATGGAAAGATCTGTGTCGATGGCTTCCTCACTCCCAGCCTGGCTTTGGTAGCCACACTTCAACCCTGGGATTCAGACACTTGCTACAGAAGTTCTGCCAAGATCTGATTTAGAACAGCAGCTTCCTCAAGGTTAAGCAGCAATGAGACTAGCTGGGAGGGAGCAAAACTGTCCACAGATTTCTAGATTTTTTTCTTTCCTGCCCCCTGTGGTTAGTCCCTCTCTTTAGAGGGCTCTTTACAGGCCCAGAGCAGGGATAACCTGGAGATTCATAGGGGCTGCACAGTGTAACTTAGCCAGGTGCTGCTAACTGGGAGCTGTATTCAAACAGTGCTTTTACTTGCCAGCCTGGAAGAGACTGGCCCAGAACCCACTGGAAAAGGAGACACAGGCCCTTTTTGGCTCCTCCTGTTGTCATTCCTAGCTGAATGACATTTAAATGGTATGTTCTAGTGGCGGCTGGAGACCAGCCCTTTGACTTTGGACATCTTCTTTGTGGGCTGCCTTTGTTCTGTGTGTGGAGGGCACTCGCGCTCTACCAGCTGCTGTTCCATCTCCTGTGCCGACGACGAGGCTGTAGCTTTTAATGTTTTCTTTATGTTTGTGACCTGGCCAAGAAGAGACAGTGAATCAGCATCTGCTTCTTCTTCCCCTCACGGCAGAAACTCTGCTCATAAATGTGCTGAAAAACCCCTGGAGTACAGAGTGGAGATTATAAAATATACTGTCCCACCAGAAACGTGCTCTGAACTTGAGTTTATTAAAGGTAATGTTTCATCATCACTTATAGCCAGAGTTGTTAACATTTCCAGTCTCAATCCAATACAGAATTAGCTAGAGATTACTTTCCTCTCACCCCACCCCCACCCCCCAAGAGACAACAGCACAACTTTGTACCACTTTTCTGGCTGGCTGGAGGGACCTACTACCGCCTTAGTGCTGAAGGCAGCTGTCCTACCACTCCTGGCCAGAAGCAGGAAGGACAAAGGAGACTGTGAAAGAGACAAACTCACACTTAGGCCAGCACTTGAAAAGGGAAAATGCCATTTGGCCTTGCTGGCTGGCTAAGCCACAGATATTTGCTAGAAGCAGGAAAAGAAATTGGTTTCATAGGAGGCAGCAGTAGTGCTTCTGCCACTCTGGCTGAAAAAGAGAGATACAGCACCAGGCATCACACTCTGACCCCTGGAACCCTGTAGGGCTCACCAGAAACATGAAGAGCAAACCTTAAAAAAAGGAAAAAAATCCACAGGCCAGAACAAGTTTAGGAGTCAGGTGTGCCAACTCCAGGGCAAAGACATCTGGCAAACCCAACGTGCTACGGATGCCAAGCAAGCCGCCAAGCATGCGCCGCTTCAGAAGGCAAATGTAAATCTGCAGGGATGGAGCACTCTGCAAGAAATAAAACCTGAGCAAGTGTCTCAGGAGGACCATTTTCACCTTTACAGCTGTATTAGCCAAGATTTGTTCTCGTAAGTAAATACCCACCAGGAGGGGCTAAAACCGTGTGCCCGTGCTGCCACCTACCGCCCAGCTGGGCACGGAGCAGAGGCGGGCGCTCCCTGCTCTCGCTGCTGAAGTCCCCCTGCCTGCAGCCTCAACGTGACCCCTCGAAGGAAGAGGTCATTGCTTTTTTTGTGCAAGAGCAATGAGACTCGAGAGATTTCTGCTAGTTACACTTTCAGGTTTAAAACAAAGAGAACTGTTTTTTCCTTCCTGCCTGCCTTGTGAAAAAGGAACAGAACCACGCAGAAGCTCCCTGTTAAAAGCACACTTTTCCTAACAAATCAATTCAGGAAACCACAGCTAGCAAAGCCACCTGGCCTAAATTTATAAAAAGTTACAAACAAAAATTCCAACCTGTGCAGAGTGGGCAAATTTGATGTTTGTGGTGTTACCACCACGTGAAAGCAGATGTGTTTTCTTTCTACCCTAAACTACCACATCTGACTTGCATGATTGCTAGCCTGCTTCAGAGAAGTCATGACTGCTAACCAGGTGTCACCAGATTATTTTCTGCAGCAAACATCTACCAAAAAGCATAGAGTGGTCTGAATTGACTCTGTACCCACCTCCATCTCCACCTGCTGTTGAGTTCGGTGATGGTTCTCTTTGTATTGGTTGGCTCTAAGTACTTGCTGCTCAATTCCTAAAAGAACCGCTTCACAACCATCACACCTGCAAGATACAATGTCAAATGGTGTTTTAAGAGTCGCCTCTGGAGCACCTCCATCAGGCAATCTGAAAAGTCATGCTTGCTGACATTATTTAAGATATTATTAAATTTATACCTCCTGCTTAAAGATCACAGTTCCAAAAAGCTGGCAAGAAAAAGCTTTGGTGCTTACTCAATGTACTTCACAGCATTCTTTAGAGAATCTGTGTTACTCTTACCATCAAAAAGTGGCAGGTTCAACGCACTTTCAATTTCCTCTTCCACCAGAGCTACTGCTTAAATAGGGATACAACACATTTTTGAAGAGTAAGTAAAATTTTAAAATTAAAGAAGTCAGGTTGAGAGAATCCCCCTGTCTGCGAAGTGTTCAAAAGACAAGAGCACTCCTCCAACACAGAACTCGTAACTGGAGAGGATGGAAAGGGAATTGGCAGTGGGTTCATTGTTAACTTCCAAAGAATGCTGTACGGTCCTCAAAGCTGCCAGAGCCCTCCCGCTGTGATGGGATTGAGGGAGTTGGAGTAGTGAAGAAAAAACTTGCCCCCACCTCAGGACAGCATATTCACCCAGTAGTTTAATTACTTTTCATACACTCATTACCACGGCAACTAGGAAGCAATTCCCAGTCAGCTCAGAATCTGCCACAGGCTCCACAGCCTACAGGGAAATTTCTCTGGGTGGGAAGGGAATCCTACAAAACGAGGAGAAGCAGCTTCCTGGCAAAGGTACAAAAAGATAGTGCCACGGTCCCAACGTGGCTGCCTGCAGCCTGCATTTGCAGGAACAAAGGCAAGGCAAACAAAAGCATCTGAAAGTTCAGACTCGAAGAGACATCGCCTCCAAAGAACTGCGATTCTCCAGAATTTGCCCATGCACTTCTCATCACAGTGCAAAAGACTGAAAAGTGATGAATGTTTTGGTTTTGTCATCAAGTGTAGCAGCAGAAAGGGGAGTAGCTCCCACCAAAAGACCACAAGCCCAGTTTGACAGATCTGTTTGAAAAGGCCTTGACTTCTCACTAGGGATCTGCCATGTAAAAGCTGCAGTGAGAGCAAAATCTCAAGATCTAGTATAGTTTGGCTCAACACAACGCAAACTGAATCCTAGGCAGCCTCTTGGAAAACTTGCTCAATAGTCTCCTCCTCCAAGTGCCTACTTACAGCATAAGACTCCTGATTAATGGAACATGGTGAAATTGAGCCAGTACCTGAAACTTTTGAGAAATAAGGAAAAAAACAGACAAGCCATGTACAAGGAACAACAAAGAGACTGCCTCACCATTCCTGGAGTGTTTTGACAATGTTACTGATGTCCTTCTTCTGAATGTCTCTGCTGATACAAAAATCCACCTCTAGCACCTGGTTTCGTTGATCCAGCTTCCCCTGGATAATATCTGTATAAACCGCTTCAATAATCAGATCTTCCAGCTCCCGCAGGTTCCTCATATCCAGGTCCTTCAGCAACACAGAATAGGGAATGCACTAAAAACAGCAAGTCCAAGAATAAGTTAACAGTCCTAGAGCCAGAATGAACAGCTAAGACTCAGAAGGTGAAGACCCAAAAGTATATTGTAGCCTACGTTTTAATCTGCAAGTACAACAGTGACTGTGTTGTAACAGAACAAACATCTGCTACTAGGCTACAGAAAATTCTGATGCATCTTTGGCAATTCCTGAAGCTTTGGCATAGCACGTTCTGAATGAAAAAAGATAATGATGGGATTGTAGAAGAAATTAAGAGCATTGCTTACTTTTCTCTAGAACAAAAAGTCAGTGTTTTCGAGAATGATTCCCCATCTCCAGAGTGAAAGAAGCCATAGAAAGTTTCCCAGCCCTTCCTGACTCATTTGCACAGCAGTTCAGACACCCCCTCATCTCATCCACAGGCCACTGAGTTGATGTCCCAAATGCACCACAAGAGAACACTGTACATTACAGGTACTTCCCTAGTTGCAGGAATTTTTGGGTATTCATGCAGTCTGCTACAACTTCACTGCTATAGAATTGATGCCATTTTCAAATCAAACAAAAAGAAGATTGCTCTCATGCTCAGGGTACTTTACCTTCATCCTAGAAGCCAGGCTTACAATTGTCAAGTGTTTCAGCTTGTTTTTCTGAGTCATTGTTAATTCAGGCAGGTTATCTTTGTTTGCTGTTAAAAAGACAAGATTCAAGACTTTTCTTCAAGAATTACACAACCCAGGCTACAGAACTTCAGAGTTGTTACACGACACTAAACCCTGAAATGCTGAACTCCTCCAGCTACTGTGAGTGCTGGTGAGCAGAGAGACCTGCTGCTGCTGACAGATCATCACACCCAGGGAGAGAGGGGACAGGTCAAAAAACAAGCTGGCAATGCCACTCTTCTCTGCTTCTTTAGTAGTTCTAGTTTTGGAATTAGATCATTCACATCTACACAAGTGCTGTCCTGCCAAACGAGTTGGTCAATGTTTTGTTTCTACCAAGGCATTTTTATTTCATTAATGAGCTGGCAGAATAAAGCCTTCCCCCTTTGCTGATCTGGTTGTAAATAAAGCTGGTTTTATTTCCCTGAAGAGAATTTAGGGTTGAAAGTGTAAAGTACCAGTCTGTGGAAAAGGGGAGAAATTATTAATCTAGATGGCCTCATTGTCATTGTATTATATCCATGTGCCTCCTGAATATTTAAAAACAGAAAGGAAACTGACGGCTTTCCAAAGTAAAAAAACCTCTTTGAAGTATCTGCTTTAATGAATATTGGTGTTTCAGGGCCACTCAAATTCTCCCATCCATCCCACCTCATTCAATGCTTTACATTTTGACTACTCTTCCCCCTTTCTCTTTCTTCACTACAAAAGGAAGAACAAACTGTGCTGTCACATGCTGGGACACAAGACCCATGCACAGCAAACACATCCTCTCATCAATCCCAAAATTCATGAGGCTCGTGTTGCTCCACAGCCACTGGAATTTCCAGTCCTTGCACTTAGAGATGCTACTTCTCCTTACAGGAACCACACAGCTCATCCACCACAGTGATAGCCAGCACAATGACAGAATTATCTGTCACGCTCTCTAATGGTCTGGATGAGGCTGCTACCCACAAATGAAGTATTAAATTGTAGCAGAATGGAAGCATAAGCACCAGAGATAAAAGCACATCTCGACAGATACTAAAGTGATTCACACATAGTCCTGCCGAAGCTGTATAAAAGTCATTATTTCAATTTGTATTCTAGCTAAGAAATGCTTCATTTTCTTTCAGCAACGCCATCACAGAAGAAAAGGTTATTCCATAAACCATATAGGTTTTTATAAATAATGCAGAACAATTTTGTCTAAGTTTTTGCAGCTTCCATAACCGGTTGTCATCTAAATTTCCAAACAGATATCTGAAATTGCACTTTCCCGAGGTAAGTGGCCTCTGAACACCAATGAACATGTCTACAGAGCAGTTCAACCCAGTGCTGTGGTCCAATCTAAACCAATAAAACACCTCAGTCTCTCTCCATTCCTTCACACTGTAGCAATTAAGAAGCACGTGTGACCCGGAGAGCCCCGATGAACAATTCCGTGAACACGTGGATTCTGCTCTTGGACGCTTCCACCCGGCCACACAACGCCAGGTATCACAGAAAGCAAAGAACTGACCACTCTACAGGGCAGCCCAGTCTCGGGCTCTGCAAACAGGCAGCAGTCTCTTACCTACATAGTCTGGGTACGTTCCGTATGCAAACAGGTTCAGCAACTGGAAATAAGCAGCATTAGACCCTTCAGCAAGCTGGATGGGAAGAAAAAAGAAATTCCATGTAACACAGTGAAAGTCAACACAATCCTGGTAGGCAACTTCTCCAGAGAATGTTTTAAGTCTACTTAGGACAAGCAGAACCCAGAGAAGCAATTATGTCCTGATCTTAAAGAGCTGGACCCCCTAAAGCCTCATAAGCAGCAGCAGATTTCAGCAGTTTTAGAGTCAAGATGATCCAGCCATTTCTATGCATCAGAACTTGACTACAGTTTGGACCATCAACTGCTTTTAGGAGGTAAAGGAAAACAGCCTCCAGGGCCAGCTCTTCTCTCCATGTGGCAGGCAAGCAGGCAGTGCTGTTGGCTGGTTAAGCATCCTTGCTGTTACTGCGAAAGCTAAGACAGCTTACCTGCAGAGCCACAAAAGCTTTGGAGCAAAGCAAGCTAGACCATTTTAAGCTGAGCACATTTGTGAGTAAGAGCATTCCTCTCACACGCAAACACTTCACTGGAGTAACTGCAGCACCAAGCAGAGATTTTTATTGAGTGGTGGTTTTTTAATACCACTTGTTGCGGAAAGATCCAGGGAAGAGAACATACTTGTGACTTGATGCTGAATAACCACAGAGGCATTTTTTGGCATATCTAAGGGCCTGTCTGGAGAGCCAAACTTGCTGCATGGTGCATCAGCCCAGCTGCAAAGACACTCAATCTAGATTCCCTCGTTGTAGTAGAGGGGGGTGCGGGCGAGGCACTCTCAGTAAAAGCTCTGCAGCTTACTTCCCACCTTGGTTTGAAACGGTTTGGATCTGGTTACCACCCAGGCCCCAGACACCAGACATGAGATGACAGAGACTTCTGGAGAGCACTAAAGTTATGCTTTCCAGGACAATGAAGGAGTAGAGAGGGATTTTTTTTTTCTGGCTGGCTAGGTGCCTTCTTAAAATTTTTACTGTGCTGCTGCTCCTGCCAAGGTTTTGCTCTATTAGCAGACACATTAAGGTAGCAAAGCTCTATGTAGGTATTTTTTAACATCTAATAGATACAGGCAAAAGCAACGTCAATCTCTCACACACAAACAACTCAGAACCACAGTAAGTTGCACCAGGCCCTTCCTAGAACAGAAATTTCACGCACAGGCTGTCTGTGGAAACTTCTGGGAAACTCTTATACTGCAACTGCAGAAGGGGCATTAGGATAGAAACTCATCTCTTACCTCTTGCACATTTGTTAACTCCAATAGCTCTCCAAAGACATAAACCCCAGGAGCCTCCAGCACTTGATTTATAAGAGCAGTCAGAGCTGAGCCACTTGTACCTTTGGCTAGTAAAATAAACTGCTCTAGAAGATTGCAGGACGGTTTCTGTTCTCCTGCCATTCTAGGTTTTCAATCTGTCAATAAAAACATGAAATTAATACATCCTTTCTCCTCTGCTGAATTCTGTCTGGCAGTGGCTAAGAAGGTATGCTCAGCATAGTAATATTTTTTTGTCAGCTAAGGCTGGTTTTTCTCCAGCATTCAGAGGGTGGGCTGGGAATCCAGCAGGTCCAACTGCAGATTTATCTGGGGAGCAAAAACTGTTCACACAATATCTTAGCAAAATTTCTGCAGACGGTCTTCTGGTCAGTTCCCTGAAAGGATCTATTCCTGCTAGTTGGAAAGGAGTTTAGATTCCATGTCATTTTCAGACTCTTCTTTCTACTGATGCTGCCAAATAATGCCAGCTGCAAAGCTGTTTATTATTACATCCATTAGATATAACATTAAGGCCAGTTAAGACTTCCTCCTTTCTCGTTACAGAGCCTTAAAACAGCAACTAACTTAATTCTCTGTGAAGAGCTGATCCACCTGGTAGGCCTGCATGTCTTACCTTTTGCTTTGATGCTGACTACGGCAAAGTATGTGTACATAGTTCCTCCTGCTTTCTGAGCCTAAAAGGCAAAAAGAGCTGTGGCCCATAAATAGCTTACCAGCCTACTTTGTACAGTTGAAGTGTTTTGGGTTAACTGGAAAGCTTAAGTGATAAAAATACCCCTTCTACAAAGGCTCTATTTAATTCCCTGTAAAGAGAGGTCTTTTGTCTTCAGCTTTCGCCTGACATTTCTGGTGTGCTGGGTGTCTCCCAGCACCAACATGTTGCTTTTGAAATGTAAAACACTGTTTATTAACAAGTGCAACAAAATAAGTTGTTGTTTACAAACAACTAAAACAAACTTCCAACGCATATTATTCAGAGACCAAACAAAGAACTTAGCAGATAAAGCAGTTTTTGTATTATGTTTTTATCAGGTAATTCTCAACTACAACAGGTAAACTTTACTCTGGTGAAGAAAACCAGACACCATAGAACCTGTCTGACTCTGTGTGACCTCTGGGAACACATCTGCTCTCGTGGGAGTGGCACAGTAACGCAGCTGTTTGTACTGTTTTATCATGCCTCACCACGTTAAGGCTAGAGAAAGCAACACAGCTATCTTCCATTATTACTCCACTTCTAAAAATCCACCTTCCTCCACTCCATTACACCTGCAGGTACAAATGGTCCCAGCCTGAACGGGCAATCTTTTGCACTCTCCACACAAAGATTTCTCACTTCTCGGTGTAAAGTCTCTTTGGGATTCTTTTCACAGATGCACACGTGCAGCCTGACTGAACAGTGCCTCAGTTTTGATGAGGAAATCCCTGCAATACAGTAACACTCAGTGGGGCTTCCTAATGCACCTGAGTGTACCTCAGTACTCATCTCCCTGCTCACAGACTAGGAACAGACAGAGAGGAATGACAATTTTCTCCAGTGAGTGCATGAAGTGACTGAGCTAGAATAAGATCTCGATTTCACAGCTCTCAAGTTATCGTCCTCCCTCACAGGCCATCACAACACAGGCTGGCATACGAGGTTACAAGACAGGTTGGCTTTATTTGTGCCCTGCTAGGGAAGACATGTCAATTCTTTGCCCTTTTACAAATTATCGTTTGGGCAACGGCGTTGCTATTGCAACTCGTCTGCAAAATCCTGCCACCGGGGCCACCTTGCTGCCA